GACCGTGCATTCATGAGACTGGATCCAACTGGACAGACATTATTTAAACACAACCCAAGGCCAGGTATACAAACTCCTAATGAGCTATGCATTAGCAACAAGCAGCCACAGGCCATGGGAAGCATATGCTCCTTTCACTTTTTGAGAAATAGTGTAGTATGTAAAAGTGGATTTACAGGGAATGATACACTGATTGTTATACAAGAAAATACTATTTCAGTCTTTCAACTTCAGAATTTCACGTTTAATTCAGCATGTTACTTTTAACATTTGCAATTTAACTATTTCTGAGTGAAAATTGTTTCTACGCCATTTCCAGTTGTACTTTTCATTGAACTATTAATTTGGCCCCAGTTGTGTGGCAGATTATTCTATTCATATCCCAAAAAGGATACAATACTGCTAAACATTTGGGCTGCAGTTCTTCCATCTTGATTTAGATTGAAAGTCCTGTCTGGACTTCTTTAAAGTAACCTTTCATTCACACTGGCACTCTTCCCATGAACTCATTGTCTGGGAGAAGAACTAATTAACTTTCTGCATAATATGACACGTCTACCAGTATGTTTCATTAGCATCCTAAGGGCCTAAGGGCTTGCAAGATGGCGACTGTGGCAGAATATGAGCAGAGCACCACCTTACCAATACTTTTCATTTGGATATTTATATATTTATCACTGCAGATAGTGCTCGCCTCTGAGGATAGGACAGCATCCCATTTGTTGTCAGAAAACAGAGTTGTTTTGGAGTCCTCCACAGAGTCCGCCCTGTTTGTGGGTTTTTGGATGAGAAGAAAGATGACTAGATTATTTGAAATGACTGCTGCATTTCAACCATGACTTTCAATAACTTTTCCAGAGGTTTGTGATTACTAGGGCTGCCCTCGACTAAGGATTTTTCTGGTCGACTAGTAGTCGTTCATTTTAAGCATTAGTCGACTAATCGCACGTTTATTAATAAACTAATTAAATCATTATAATGAGCCTTTAATTGCCGACATAACCTAAGCAGCGCTCAAGCACAAGCATAAAGCTTGCCACAGCGCAACGGCAGAAGTAGCCAAATGATTATGAATGTGTCAGGGAAAAACAGTAAGGAGACTGCATTAACATTTTAATAATTTGGTAAACTAGTGCTTGCTTTGTTCTCAGTTTAAGAGATAAAGTCGGAGACACTGACTCGTCTCCGCTGTAGTGGATGTGCCTGTATATGTTTCATACGGATTACATAATCTAAGAATATTTGTTTTCTATTTGAATTGGTTCATTTGAAAGTAGACATTTCACTCTCTCTCTATATATTTGTAATGTCTGTAAGGCAAAGATATACACAGAGATACACAGCAGAGTTTTTGTTGTTATTGTGAGTGCACACAAATAAACTTAAAAAAAAAAAAAAATGTCTTTACAGATTTGAAAGATGTATTGCTCTTATCTGTATGACCAAAAATGACAGAGTAGCCTATTTTAAAAGCAAGTGAGCGCACTGGCGCCTCCATCTGTCCTGCAGTGAGTGCAACTGTTTTGTTTTGTTTTTAAATGCGACTAAGCGACTAATAAAATTTTGGTCGACCAAGCCTCTTCTGGTCGACTAACGATTAGTCGACTATTAGGGGGCAGCCCTAGTGATTACAAGATTTTTTAAATGTGGGCATGCGTTACAGGCTATTGCTAAGATGTTTTCTCATTGCTTAACCTCATATCATTCAAAAGTGTTTTTTTTTTTGTGCTGCATTTATTTGATTAAAAATACAGTAAAAACTGTAATATTGTGAAATGTTATTACAATTTAAAATATCTGTCTATTTTAATATATTTACAATGTAATTTATTCCTGTGGTGGAAGATATCTGGATTTTCAGCAGTCTTCGGTGTCACATGATCCTTCAGAAATCATTCTACTATGCTGATCTGCTGCTTAGAAAACATTTTTATCAATGTTGAAAACCATTTAAAGGCCGCTTAATTTTTGTGGAAACAGTTTTTTTTTTTTCATAATTATTTAATGAATTGACATTTCAAAAGAACAGTATTTATATGAAATGTGTATTTTTTATAACAATTTGAATGTCTTTTTACTGTCACTTTTGATTAATATAATGCATTGTTGCTTAACAAAAGCATTAATTTCTCTACTGCGCACAAACCTTTGAAGTATTCAATTAGCATTTTAGACAAGAAAATTAATACTTGCCTAAAAAATAAAATGCAGTTTTCTAGGAATCCTACTCCGCTCATGGCATTAGGGAGGCTTAGTCGGACATGTAACATCCCTCCATTAGACATGCTATTTTGCTGTTTGAACAGGATGAACAGAATTGCGTGACTTTTTCAGCCACAAGCTGATTAAGAATTTATTGTAAGTCTGAGCTTAATTGTAATTGGACCGTGTGGGATATGGGAGTCTCGTGTGCTGGGTAATTGGGAGGCTTTTCTTTAGGTATGAAAGATCAGCCATTACCAAACAGTTCTGATCATCATGTGTTCCAAGCAGGACGTGAAAGGAGTGATGTCACCGTGTACCCTGATGGAGTTAAGAGTGTGCTTTGATGTATTCTTGTATAATGAGACTCGGAGGTCTGAAGATTTTTCTGTAAAGAAGGGATGATGGTGCTTATTCACCTTTCGTTTTATTCTCTCCATTCTGAAACGTGGCTACTCACACAGCGTACCCACCAGTACAAAAATATCTGGCACTAATGAGTGCACACTCCGGCGAGAGAGACATATGCCTTCTACCAGCTTTTTAATATCTTGTCTTGACTTAGTATTATTGCTGCCGTTCTGCATCATTGGCTGAATTTATTTCATCATGGCATGACTGGAAAGAATGTAAAAAACATTTCACATGATGGAGGTCTCCAGAGGACATTTTAGGCCAATTTCAACATATAATTGAAAGATTATCTGAATTAAAATTTCATACTGTTCATTAAATAATTTCCCTCAGCATTCAAAGAAGTTTCACAGCATGAATGTTTCAATTTGTTATATTATTAGTGCTGCTAAGGCAAGCATTACTATCACTCATACGTGTACCTCACCCTGCACTTTTACATTTATGCATCTAGAAGACACTTTTATCCAAAGTGTGCATTTAAAATCTCTCTCTCTCTCTCTCTCTATATATATATATATATATATATAGCTTTTTTATTTATCTAATTCATTTTAACCAGTATGTTCCCTGTGAGTGATTTAATTCATTATTTCTGCCTGTAAGATGAAAAATTGGCAAAAAAGATCTCATAGACATGGTCCCAAACCATATATAGGAATTTTTAGGAATCTAGAATGTGATAGAAACTTGATTTTTGGGGCTAGTAAGCAACCACCAATGTCCTGGCAACCATCCTAGCATCATGCACAGGAACCAGTCTTATTTTCTTCAGAAGTTCAGAGTCTTTCTGATGTGAGCAAAACGGTGAATGTTGTGATAATACAACAAATACAACAGCAATATGAAGCGTGACAATAAATCATAATGTTAAAGCTGCAAGTGCAGATATTATCTCTATATATCTTATTTATAGGTCTGTGTGAGAGACTATCGTTCACTGAAATTCCAGGATATGGTGTTTTGTCTTTTCTCTAGGGTGAAATGATGTTAATGTAGTGTGCGTCTGTATCAGGACCGCCGCTCTGTCAAACTCTAATCACCTTGCACTTCCGTCGCTCTGGGCCAGAGTGCACTGAACCACTAATGTGAGATCGTACACCTCATTAAAACTGCCAGCGAAATATTTATCTACCCCAGCCGAGGGGGAAATGATAGTGATTCCAGCGTGGCGTATATGAGTATGTTGTCTTCCAGCGTCAACGATGGCATGCTTTTTAACACTCTACTCACAGTCACATTCTTCAATGAAGGATGCTAATTATATTAATTAGACGTAGTAGTCGAGAAACCGATGGCAGGTATTGACTAAACAGAGATGGCTTATTAGGATAGACAAGCGGGTAAATTTCTCTTAGGACTTGCGTATTGTTTGCAATAATAACATTTATAAACAAATAATATCACTATTTGCAATAATAACATGTATACATATTATCCAAACTAATTGAATTAAAACATTTTTAAGTTTTCAAACTATACAATTAATTGAACTTTGGCAGTTGTGTGAGTGTGTTATTCTGTCAAATATATGAAACTGTGTATATACATTTCTGTATAACCAAGAAGTTATGAAATTATTGTTGACTTCATAGGCGGAGGGTGAACCAACTCCAGGGTAAGGCTAAAAGCAGCCAAATGTATTAAACATCATAAACTCGTCTTTTTAGGCAAGAACTAGACATGGGTGTCATGTAGGCTAAAAAAAAGTTTAATGGGACTTAATTTGTATTTAACGTGCTTACCATTTAATAAAAATGTTAGAAATGTATAATTATATAACGTTTCCTTTCCACGGTTATTCAAACAGCGAATAAATTATATACAGAAAGTGACATCATCACTAACATTGATCTATTGCGAGTTTGAGCGCACTCAAAAAAAACAAAACTACCGTTATAATCACTGAAGCTGTAGGTATTGTAGGTACATCTTGTTTATGATGAGAGAATTCGCAAGAGTCCAGAATTCAGTCAGCGAACGTGAGCGCGCTCAACAAAACTGATCTGTTTCAAGCATGACTCATCTGAACACCTCTGATTGGCCATTGTATTCCTAAGCTCAACAGAATTGTGTGTGATTGGATAAAATGAGCAACACTGTAAAAACGCCTAAAATGAAATACAGTGCAACATGAGCAGATCTTAATTTAATGCAGCAATCTACACTGTCTATTCATATTCACTTTGTTAGCAACAGACGTAATAGATTTAATTTATTTGTGCTGGGGCATTTTTGTCCAATTTAGTGCCATTTTTGCCCCAAGTCCCCGTGACCAGGGGAAGGCTAAGCATCAAATGTAGTTTTGGTGGCTTGGTTGAAATTTTGTTACTCTCAAGATTGTTTGATATTGTCTATTAATAAACGTATCCTTCTGTTCACAGGTCAGTGAGAATGCAAAGCAGGACCTGAAAGACGGTCTTGCTCTCTACAACACAGACAACAACATTGGGCTGAGAAATGCCTGGAATATTATCCAAGCTGAGGTACTCTTTGTGAAATTATGACTGTGTTGAGAATCATGAAAATGCGGTCACACACTAATATGTGGTTATTATTAAAATGTATCATTGTCCCCCTGTGTGACAGTGGAAGTGTTGTGGCGTAACTGGTTACACAGATTGGCATGAGGCTCTAAAAGAAAAGGTGGTGCCTGACCGCTGCTGTCAAGAGCATTATCAGGAGTGTGGCCGCAACTCCACCAACATGTTCTGGACACGGGTGAGTGGACACCTGCACTTAAACCAATGATAATGTTGCCATAATTCCCCAGACCTTTAATTGTCTTGATGTGTGCAGTGAACTATACACATACTGCATTTCAATTGCACAACTTTCAATTGAATCATCCCAATTTTAAATACACTTGAATTGCCACTTTTAAATTCATTAAAGAACATTTCTGATTCTAGACAGGATCAAAGAAAAGACAGGAGGTAATAACTTAGAGGATTTCTCTTTTCTGTCCTTGAAAAGAGTTATTGTTAATAAATGAAAGGCAGTAAAAGCCATAGATTTAAGACATCTCTGTTGGTTGGAGCTCTAAGTGCATCTGTAAAGTGCCAGTCGTGTATCTTTATGAATTCCTGCTCACCTTTGGACACCGGATGCATTTGTCTTCCCTTATGGGAGCTGATTTAACTTATGAAAACTCATTTTAATGTACTGAATGTTTAAATGAGATTGTAGAGAGGGCAATGGTCTCTTGAGGGAGTATTTTTTGTGCAATTGACAGAGCTGTACATCAGCAAATGATGTTATATGTCAGACTGTCACACTGTCTTTATCTGAAGCTTTTAGTTACCACAGAGGTACTAATGGAGTGTTTGTAGATGAGACATTTCCATTTAGTAAATTCTCAATGTTCTTTTCAAAAGCTCCTTTCATTAAAGCAGAACAAGCCATACTTGAAATTTGTGAAGCTGCCACGAGAGAACATTTCGAGTAAAATTCACGATTTCCAATGCAGAAACCTTTGTGTTTTCTTCTAGGGAAGGAAATTACACAAGGACACATTGGTAGTCAAGTTAGTCTTAAACCGTAAGCCGTTTAATTGAATTTATCTTCTCCCCCAGAAGTTAAGCAGCTAGCCAACGTCTTAAATTGCTTTAAATTTACAGAACAAGAGGAAATAGTCAAAAATTTTGACATAGAGGCTATGTGCACAGAAGAGTTTTGCCGTATTGGTAGGTATTATATTGTATTACCGCCTCAGTTTTTTTTGCTGGAAATGGATTTCCTTTTCAATGCCTTAGTGTGAAAAGCAGCCCACAACACCGCCAACTCAAAGCTGGTTTGTCTTTTTTTCCCACATAGCCACATACAGTATATCGCTGAATGTGCTTTTTTTCAGTCACTGCGCGTTGAAAATGCAGCCGCAGCAGTCGCTCGCTCGCTCAAGCATGTGCTCAAAACCAATTCCACCACTGCTGGACTTCAGCTCATTTTCCCTGGATCAGAATTAACAACTAGCAAATTAGAAAGTGAAACGTGCACAATCTGTTTGTATTAGTGCTGCAGATGATAAATCACATCTCGTGGCTCTTCCTGTCTTCCAGGGCTGCTACGAGAAGGTTGAAGAGTGGCTTGAAGATAATAAGCACCTACTCGGAACCATCGGCATGTGTATCTTGGTAGTTCAGGTAAGATGTGTGTTGGTGTGTTTTTCCATCACTCAGCATGTCAAATGCAATGGTGATAATGAGCGCGCCTGTCTCGTCTGGTTCTGCTGAAACAGTGAAGCGCATGTGTGGAGCGCCACAGTCAGCCCAGGAGAGATAAGGTGAACCGCTCATTAGGGCTTGCTGATACTCGAATATATAGAAAGTGAACCTGTCAGCCCCACATGATGTTTTGCAGTGGTTCGTTATAGCCCTAGAAAGCCCATGAATTCAATGTATTTGATTATCAGCACAGCCTGGTCTAGTGTGTACATTCTGCGTAGGCGCTTTGCATTAACGTCAGACAGATTTTTTTCCTAGAAACTAGGCAGAGACATGTTAAATATGGTCCATGCATCAACAGTAGTTTGACTTGTGTATATATATATATATATATATATATATATATATATATATATATATATATATATTTTG